CTCACGGCTAGTCTTATAAGATCTAGGATTCCTAAAGCTAAGCAAAGAAACTCGGTGACTTTTGGAGAGAAAATGGCTAAAATGTATATTCAGATTTCTTAAATGGCAAAAGTGATTACAAATGTGAAGGAGTGAACTATATATAGGACTGGAGGCAAGCAAAAGTGGCGCCAATCACAAGCTACACAATTAGCGCCAAGAATTTGAATTTCAAATGGAATTTGAAATTCAAATTCTTGGCCACCATGTGCATGATCGTGATCTTAGGCCCTTCATGCATCTAAATGTCATTTAGGAAGCATTTAGGATGGATTTGGGCGTGCACATGTTCAGCCACACTTGACTCAAAACATGTGACCCCAAATTCATCTTAAATGACTACTAAATGAAACCTAGATTTAGCCTCACTTATCTATTCTAGTATTCCTCCAATATTCCTACTCTAATGGCCTAAATACAATGGCCAAACAAATATGAACAATACAAAATAATAAAAGGAACAAAATGAGCCTAATATTGAGTATCAAAATACCCAATGCTCATAAGGCCCAAACATAGGCCCACTAAGCCTATGACCCCAAAATCCTAATCTAGGTTGTCCAAAATACAAGACAAAAAATGTAAAGCCTATACTATATATTGGAAACAATAATAATGGTGGTCATTGTAAAGCCCATGTGAAGAGTACCCTAGGCTCACCAAGTCCATTAGGCCCACCAAGCTCTGAAGCAATCAAATCTTCATGTAATTTCCTTATCATAGCTCTAGTGGTTGGACCTTTGGTCCATGCTCTTCCATGTAATAAAGAGAGATCCGTTTACTTCATGAGTAAGTCTACCTAGACTCACTCCATTTAATAATTCATGTTCTACATTAAATTTCAACGATCAAATCGTTGAATTTAAAGTTCTTAATACATAAATTAAATCAACACATTTTTAAAATGTTTAGGGTTTTGGGTTTATATGATATTTTATTATATAGATTCAAATATACGTTTAAAATATTTTTATGATAATCTATCAACTTCAATTATGAAATAAGTATCATATGATTTTCAATTTTTAAAAAAATTTGTAGACTTGATCTATGCATTAAGAACTTTTAATTTAACGGTTAGATCGTTGAAATTCAATATACATAATGAGTTATTAAGTAGAGTAATTTTACTAAGAGTTATCATATATATATATATACCTATGCACTGTCTGTGTAAAGTTTTTTTACACTGGCAACCAATCATATCTTTTAATAGTGTAATAAAATAAGCAACTTTAAAAGATATGATTGGTTGCTAGTGTAAAAAACTTTACACTGGCAGTGTATGGATGATTAACTCATATATATATATATGAGGAGGGATCCTCTAATTGTAAGAGTAAGTTTGTCTAAACTTAATTCACTCAATAACCCATATTTTACATTAAAATTCAATTATCCAATCGTTGAATTAAAAAGTTCTTAATGTATAAATCAAGTTTATAAATTTTTTAAAAAATTTGAAAATAATTTAATACTTCGTTTTATTAATTCAAATTGACAGATAATCATAAAATTATTTTATACATTAATTTAAATTAATGAAACGAAGTATCAAATGATTTTCAAATTTTTTAAAAATTTACAAACTTGTTCTATGCATTAAAAATTTTATTTTTAATTTCAATTATTTAAATTATTAAAATTTAATCTAAAATATGAATTATTAAACAAGATAAATTTAAATAGTTTTACT